GACTGCAGCAGAACGGCTGTGGCATCCTAAAACTAAATCATCATATGCTCAAGTGAGGTGGAAAGATCCCCTCACGGGTGTATGGAGTGGCCCCGACCCGGTATTGATATGGGGACGAGGGCACGTTTGTGTTTTCCCGCAGGACGCTGAAGGTGCCAGGTGGCTGCCTGAAAGATGGGTCCGTTTTGCAGGAAATTCTCCTGCCCCTTAGGATGATCCCGACAACTGTCCTGCTGGTAAATCTAACGATGACGCTTAATGAGAAGGTTTATTGGACTTATGTACCTGATCCACCTGTTGTACATCCAACGAGCTGAAAAAATGGAGAAGTAATGGTATGGGTGAACAATACCAGGCTGTTGGGTGAGCTGGCGGCACCTGACAAGAACGAGGTCTGATTGTTCAACTATACGGGATCAGAAACTGGAACCCCCATATGTTTCTCCAAAATCAACAGAACTGATTGTGTAAGACTGAGCACTCGCACCCTGGCAGGAAGGCAGGTAGATCAATGCAAAGGCGGGATCACTGGAGTCCATCTACATCTACCTGTGGATATAGAGACCACTGGTATAGTGCCTCCGACTTTTAATGCTCCAATAAGACTATTCCATGGAAGAGATGTGTGGCAGATGCCCCTGTGAGATATAATATTACTGGGCTTGATACTTATGTTTTGGACTGGTCTGAAAATTCTTGTCATCCCAAAAGAAATGTCACTGCATATGTCATGCACTCTTAGGTATTGCTTGTAGGAAATATTAGTGTTCAGAAAGATTATGATTATTATAATGTAATTTACTTCAATTGTCAAATAAGCAATTGTCACCCGAACAGAAAATCAGATAATGGTTTTGCGAATGTGTTTTTAGATTTGGATATTATAGGTCTCCAAGATGCAGAACCCCTGGAATTTGATGCAGCCCAGGCTGCACAGGATTTTATCGAACAAATTAGAAAAGTTCTGCCATCTACATCTGCATTTACGCGGTAACTCATTTCCACAGTAATTATTGGAGGAGGGC